AATACAGTCCCTCTCTACAAGTTTTGCGAGTGAAAGTAAAGAAGTACAAAGCTCAGAACTCATAACAAAGACTTCTGAATTGTTCTGGTGGAATCAGAATTTATGAAACCTAATACATTATTTCTTAGAAATCCTATTTCTACTCTGCAAGACTTATGAAAAGTATATGAATATCGTGTTTACCCAACAGAGTTATGTCATATGTTCTTGTATGTGAGCTTTTTCTCCTCCCCAGTCCCAACTCTGGACAATTCCAAATGTCTGCAATTTCAAAAAATAATATTACATCATTCAAATAATACATAAATACATTGCCTTTGTAAAAATAAATATAAAAGTTCCTGACTACCTCTCATTCCCACCTCTCCATAGACACTGTCTATGTATACTTTTATACATAGTATAAACTATACTATGTCTAGTTTTCATGAGCATTATTTTATGTTGTTTTGTTTTTAATATCCTGGCATCCTACTGTGTATTGTTTGTAGTTTGTCCCAGGGATCTTTTTATATGGGCATATTGTTTTTAACTGCTACATAGTATTCTATCCCATGGTTATGCCATAATGTATTAAGCATTCCTGTAATGATTAACGGGTATATCATTTCTACTTTTCTGCTATTATGTTGCCTGTCATGAACATCCCTGTATATGCTTCTTTGTGAACTTGAGTTTATCTCTACAACAGATACCAAAGAGTAGCTGTGATGTGTTAAAGGACCAGTATCTTTTACATTTTAAAGTGACAATGCCAAATTGTCCTGCAAACTTTGGGTACCACTTTACACGCCTACCAGCAGTGATACTGCAGTTCTACTGTAGTCCTTTCTTTAGGTGAAGGCTTTTGGTCCCAAGGAGCATCTCCTATTAAAAAGCAAATGACTCCTGCACGGGTAACTGGTTTAAATCCTTAAAGCTTGGAAATGAGTAGTGTAGCTTCAGTGGAGGTTTTGCCTGGAAGCTAGGTAGAGATGGGGTCTGTGGGACTTCTAGAAAGCCAGAGAGCAGTCTGAAGACTTAGGGTGCCAAGAGGTGGGAGTGGAGTTGTCAAAAAGATGATGACAGAGTTGCAAAAGAAACTGCAACTGGAGAAGAACTGAGGAAGCTGAAAGACTAGCAGCAAAGAACACTCCCCACTACTTTAGAGTTAGGGGTGGGAAGGTGTTTTTATGTGCTCTTATCCCTAATCACTCAGCTCTGCTCCATCCCAGCCTACTGCTTCTTTTCTCCAAGACCCTAACTTTGTGTGGAGGGTGCACACAGACTTGTTTTATGACCTTGTTTTATGGGTGATGCTGGCAGCCTTTCGGGCAGTTGACAGCAGGATAGAGATCTCAGCCTAAACCAGGTCTCCTCCAAATCATTTCCTGATAGATAATCATCATTTCTGAGACCAGAAAGACAAAACGGAACATTGAAAATGCTTATCCAGACATATTCCCAGTGGTCATCTATTCAACATGTAAATAATGAAAAGCTTTTGAGGATTTTACTCACCCCAAAGCATTTTACAGTCTTAGAATCTGGGACAAACATTTGTTTTGTTCTCAAGAATTTTTCTTACCTATTACAGAAAAAGAAGAGAAACTTATTTTTTCTTCTCATGTATTTTATTACTCTCTTGTGTTTGATTCATTTAACAAGACATTTAAACTTTGCAAAGAGAGGCTTATTTAAGACTGAATAGCATATTTTAAAAGTTGGATTTGAGACATTGTAGCAGATTATTTTAAGTAAAGTATTTTTTGTTTTTTAGATTTTTTTTTTATTGGCAAATTGGGGGAAGGGGAACAGATAAGTTGCTATCCTTTTTTGTTCTTCAGTCTAGTTGTGGAGGATGTTGCTTCACTGGCCCAAGTTGGCACCATCATTGCGCTCTTCCCTGGCGAGGCGGATCAGTCGCCGGCTTCTGGACGGCCGCTCACTGCAGCTGCTGGCCGCTCACGCTGGCTGCTGGCTACACACGGTAGCCCATGGCAACCCACTGCAGCAGGGGCTGCAGCCTACGCTGTCGCCAACGACTCACAGCAGCCCAGCTCCAGGTTGAGCTGTTGTTCAGCATCTTAGCTGTGGAGGGCAGTGTCACTGGCCCTCATATGTGGGATCCGAACCGGTGCCCTCTGGCTTCCCAAGCCAGTTCTTAACCATCGCGCCACTCAGCTGGCCCTTTAAGTAAAGTTTTAAAATATCAACTCACTGGGCAACATTTTTTTTTCTTTTTTTTGCTGAGCATCAGAATCAACTGGGGACCTTTTCAAAATCCCAATACCCAGGTCGAATTTTGTATTAATTAAATCAGAATGCCTAGGAGTCGGAGCCAGGCATCAATACTGGAATTGAAACTAGTGACCCAATGAATAAGAGAAAAAATCTTTTTAGTTCAAAAAAAAATAATTTCTAGGGAATACAAGACAATCATACTGTTAAAATATTTCAAATCCTTTGTCTTTTCCTGTGATCAAAGAGTTCCATGATGCAGTAGACCTACTGAACAATAACTGACAAAGTGAGATACAATGCTAATAAAATTTGCCCTATTGAGACTTTAAGGTAGGGTTTGGTTATAAAATTATTGAGCACAGAAAGAACTACGGTGTTTTCTTGATATTTATTATAAGTTTGCATGTGACACGAAGATAGCCCAGGCATGCTTTATGAACCTAAGAAGTTGTTTTCAATGAAAAGTAGACAGACCTCTCAGTGAGCAGCGAAGAGCACTTAGGAGAGCCTCAGTAAGAATTTAAGTGAATCGTGGTTATTTTTGAGCCTTGGGAGTGAAGAGAAGTAACCCGAGAGCCTTATTTGCAAATGCATTTTTATCCTGTCATTCATGCACTAGATGTTAATTTTACTGTACGTACATACTTCCACTTTATTACCTTAAAAATTCTAGAGAATGCTTTCCTCCCTCCCCCACACCTCCACCCCACCCTCACCGGAATGGGGGGGATTCACATCCCACCCAGATCAAAGAGCAAGCCTATTTATTGCCCTAGTGAGTCAGCAACAGTACCTGCAAGAATGCATAGAAACCCCAGAGCTGCTTTCCTCTGTGAGTGGGGGTGAAGAAAGAAGGAGATTTAAAGACTTGAAGCAGCACCAGGGAGGAGGCTGTGTGTCCTCTCTGGGGAAACCACTCACTCAAACCTCTTTTCCTTTGGCAGAGCTGCTTTGAAGAGCTTTGAGTAGGGTATCTATAGGAAAGTCAGCTTTTCCATCACATCTATTAATATTGGGTTGTCAGAAAAGTCATGGCGCATTTTTGCAACGAAAAACATAGAAAAAAATACGTCATGACTTTTCCGACAAAGTTCTGCTGCTGTCATTTTTCAGCTTTTTAAAAAAAGATTTTATTGGGGGATTAGGGGAGGAGAACAGCGTTGGGGAGTTGGGGAAGGGGAACAGACAAGTTGCTGTCCTTTTGTTCTTCAGTCTAGTGGTGGAGGACGTCACTTCACTGGCCCATGTTGGTATTATCATTGCTCTTCCCGGGTGGGGCAGTTGCTTGCCGGCCATTGGACGGCCACTCACTGCAGCTCACAAAAGGACACACCAGCTGCCGGCCAGCCCCACTGCAGCCTACGCTGTCGCCAGCGACTCACGGCAACCCAGCTCCAGGTCGAGCTGTTGTTCACCACCTTAGCTGTAGAGGGTGCAGCGTCACTGACCCTCATGTGGGATCTGAACCCCAGTCCTGCTGCTCAGAGCTGGCATCCCAAGCCAACTCTTAACCAACGCGCCACTCGGCCAGCCCGTTTTTCAGCTTTTCTTGTTTACTAGGTCTTTAAAGGGCAATTGTTGATGCTATTCAAACACACTAGGGTGGTGTCTACACACTGTGGAACGCTTCAGTCTGGACTGTAGCTGCCTCCCCTTTCTTCTGCGAGTCCCCCTTCTCTGGACTGAGGTCCCCTGCTAAGACAGTGGTAGTGCACTGACTTTCCCTGATCTCAAGGGAATACAATTACCTAACAGCCTAGGGCAGTCTTCTGAAGGAACTAACCTTGGGCTTCTGTCCAGCTGAAGTAATGTTTTGACAGTGTATCTTGGTCAGTCATGGTAAACCTTTACCAAAGGACACAAGTGACTGAACTGAGGTGTGCTTTTTGCTGCGTTTTCCTCTCCTTTCTTGCGTTTTTACTCAGGTTCTTATCATAACCTAGATTATCACTGCTTTCATGAACGCTCTCTCTCTTCTTTGCACTGCCACAATAGTGATACAATCTTATCTTTTCAAATATACTTCAGGGTAGAAAAAGAGAGAACAAATTTAAGTAAGTTCATCTCTAAAGAAACCTTGTGTTTTTAGTCTTATGACTTCTAAGTGTTGAATTCTACCCTACGACCTGACTATGTTTTGAATGTGATACAGGACCTGGCTGAAATTTTCACTTAACCCATTTCTGTGTTTTCACTGTTGTTGTTGAATGAAGGTAAACATTACAAAATTTTCATGTTTTTTGAAGATATGGTTGAAACTTATTTTGAAAAAAAATGGCTGAAGGAGACTTAAAGTCACTGATGTGTGTAATTTATTTTTATTTATGTTTCAGGAGGTAGGTTTGGTGTTTTTTGTTTGTTTGTTTGTTTGTTTTTTATTGTTTTTGTTTTTCACCTGAGAGTGAACCCTTAGGCTTAAAAAGAACGTGGCAGGGGTGGCCTGTTGGCTCAGGTGGTTAGAGTGCAGGCTCATGGCACCTGGGTTGCCAGTTCGATTCCCACATGGGCCAGGGAGCTGCTCCCTCCACAACTGGATTGAAGACAAATGCTTGACTAGGAGCTGATGGGTCCTGGGAAAACACACTGTTCCCCAATAAAAGTAATTAAAAAAAAAAAAGAAGAAGAACGTGGCAGAAAGAAGCTTTACAAGCATCTAATGGCCTCATGACTCACCTCACCTGACCTCAAGTCACATGGTTTTTCACTGTTGACAAGTTTGGTGTGCTTTCTGTCTGAACCTGCCTGTAATTTGCCATAATCTTTTCCTTGCCTTACAGGACTACCAGCCCGACTCCCAGAAACCATGTTGGTAGGATCCCAGTCCTTCTCCCCGGGAGGGCCCAATGGCATCATTAGAAGCCAGTCGTTTGCGGGCTTCAGCGGCCTTCAAGAAAGGCGATCCAGGCAAGTCATGCATGGTTCTCTCCTGGAATGCAGTGTGAAAAGGCTGCAAGCTCTGATGCTGTGAAGGGGGTCTGTGGGCATGTGACCTTGTAAACACACGCACATGTAATATACCAAAGATGTAAAAACCAAAATTAAGTGCTGTCATTTCTTTTCTAGCATTTAGAACTCCTCCTACAAAAAAAAAAGATGGCTGAAGATTAAGTTAAGCTACCAATATATGTATATAGCTCTTCCTACCTCCACCCCTCCCCGCCTTGTTAAGGTATTTTGTTAAATATTACCAAAGTGCCTCCAAATGTTTGAACCCATTTATCCTTTAACCAGCAACAACAGATTTGCCTTTATCCATACATTTGTTGATATTGAGCATTTTCTAAAAATTTCTCTGTTTTTAATAAATTTGTGAGGGGAGTCTCAGCATCCTTAAGAGCTCCTTGACCATTTTTATTTTCTTTTTTTTTTTTTAAAGATTTTATTAGGGAATTGAGGGAGGGGAACAGTGTTGGGGAATCAGGGAAGGGGAACAGATGAGTTGCTGTTTTTTTTGTTGTTCAGCCTAGTTGTGGAGGACGTTGCTTCACTGGCCCATGTTGGTATTATCATTGCGCTCTTCCTGGGTGAGGCAGTTGCTCGCCGGCCATTGGACGGCGGGCACGGCAGCTCACAAAAGCGTATGCCAGCTGCCGGCCAGCCCCACTGCAGTCTACGCTGTTGCCTCACGGCAGCCCAGCTCCA